ATTGACTTGGCCTTGGCGAGCAGCAGTTCCATCTTAGAGCCGGCTGGCACTGGCTTTGTCAGACATGGGGGAAGCTTCTCACAGCTGCTCACAGAAGCCACCCCTATAGCCCCTCCACTACCAAAACCTTGCCACACAAACCCATAACAGATTTGCACCTACATTTTCTGCATACCAGCACATTGGGCTGACTCTTAGGTTCGATCATAGATCACACTGTAAGGATGTGCGTTTTCCAGAGAGGCTGCTAGTCTTTATTGCAGTGCCTTTAGGAAGACCGATCGCATTTCTTGAGTCACTATTTGAAACTTGCCGCCCTTTATTTAGATGATGAAGGACAAAGGTATTAATTTAGAAGAGGAAGAACCTAGCAGCAAGCTTTGGTTGTGTGATTTATGACATAATTATATGAAGTACAATCTTAATGTGGTTTAAGTAGTGGACCTGTTTGGGTGCAGCAGAGCCTTGTTAATCTGCAGTTGGCTGGTCCATGTGCGGAGTCTCTCTGCCATATATCTCAGCAAGCAGTAAAGGGACTGCATTTGTTACTTTCATCAGCACTACTGTGTGTATTACAACAGCATTCCTGTAGATGTTGTGTCACTGCTAGTAGTTCACCTTTTAATTTTCAAGGAAGATGTGCAGGTATCAAACAAAGTGACTAAGAGAAGAGAATAGAATATTCTCTCTGTCTTGTGGAGTTACAAAGGGTATGGCCATGAATCAGGTAAGATGAAGTATACTTTGAAAAGCAGTTCACCCTGTTTGTCACAGCAATACTTACTTCTTTGTAGCTCAGTGAACCAGAGAAATAATTTTTCAGCCAAATGTAGAGAGAATATCTGTCTTTTATAGTATCTGTTTCTGCATATGCTGTAGAATAAGGTTCATGCTAGTTGTGGAGGTGAGATCTGTGATTGCAGATGACATCATTCAGTGAATTAGTAACTTTCTAAGACCCTCTGGAATGACTGATCTTATGTGCCTATTTGACAAAACATTTAAAAGATAAAAACAGATAGCAAATGTTGTTATTCAGATGAATAGGCATGCGCTTGTCTTTGATGTTGCTGAGCAAATTTGCTTTACCAGCTGTGGTGTACCACAGTATTTTGGGGTGGGCTGTAAGTAAACCTTGCACTTCTGGGCTTTAAAACATTAACTGCTCTCCAGTATGGATGATCAGACCTGTGAGACTTTTGTGATCTGATTAGTTTTCCCTCTGGTTCAACACCTGCTCATGAGAGTGCTCCACCAAAGGGGTTGACATACATACACATCCACAAACATTGAGTAACATGGTGTATGCACATGCATACCTCTATGCATGCACACTTACAATAGATAACTCCAGAAAGCCCTTCCCTTTTTTACTTGCTTTGTTCCATGGCCACAATTCCCTTCTTTTCCAACTGACATGGATCAACTACTTTGATAAAGGGGGGCCCTTCTCTTCTTCCAGATGAGGTCAGGAAATTTGACATCTCCTGGCCTCCTCAAATCAGTATTCAAGGGCTAACCTGAATTCAGAGCTGAGGATGGAGCAGCTCTGCTGATTGCACACATTTTATTCAGTGAAAGGGAACCTCTCTGCCAGACATCTGTAGATCTAGGCAAATATGCCAGAATTTTAATCTGGAGGTAAGCTTGATGTTTATCTGCTGTGCAGGATTGTCTTCAAGTCCCTCTTTTCAGGGAACTGGAGAAACCCCAATGCATTTCCATAATCAGGGTTGAGATATTACAGTACTGACACTGAGAAAACGTTGATAGAGTATGTGTGTGTTTTTAAACAAAC